GCCTAAACTTGACGAACAAAAGTTTCAACATTTTTGGAGTAACAAGATTCTTGCCTCTTAATTAGGCTCCTGATCGTGATAATTAAAAGTATATAGAAGTTACCTCTCTTTTGCATGTATGGTAAGAAATACAAAAGTGTGTTGAATTTGATTCCATCTATTAAAAAGCATATATAAACTTCTTATATACGTTTAAATAGATGCATGCATTTTGGTATAGAGAATATGATTAACAAAATTATGGATGAAATATTTAGAGAAGAAACTAATAGCTGAATCAAGAAGGCCCGCAAAAATTGCGTATAGAGCACAAATTGTAGCTTACGATTAATTTTGACCACAAAGAATAGGCAATTTAGCAATTTAATCAATATTGCACTAAGACAGGCCTAAACTTAGTGACTGTCTGAGGAAGAACAAGCAAGTTAGACTCATGTTTAATTTGAATCTTAGCTTAAAAGCAATAAAACAGGCAAACAATACTCTTCTGCCACGTTAGGCAAGAATAATTCACGAGAAAGGATCAAGTTTAGGTTAAGGTGGATTTATAAAAAAAGGATAAAATAATGCTGGAAAGAATGAATTTTAGAGTTACTTCATTGTTTTTTTTTACGAGATTGCTGATACCGGACATTGGGAAATGCATCGAAAGTAGTGAGAAAGAGAAAATCTGAACCTAGACATTTTAATAACAATTTATTCAGCTGGCTCGTCAGCAAGTAGCATTGAATACAATTGTTTGTCCGACATGCACCCGTCCATAAACTCTTCTCGAGTCAGAACTCCATCTCGATTGGAATCCATTTTTTCAAAGATCTCATCTGTACGTGCCTCAGGAGTGAGATCAACTGTCGATTCATCGGCACCCAGCATACTATAGATAGCCTAAAAATAAAAATATTGTTTGCTATTAGGACAATTAGGAAAGTATCTATAAAACAATCTTGCTTCACTTAAGTTTAAAAAAATTTGTATATTTAAAGGTTTAAGTTATGATAGTTCTAAATGCAGAACAAAAATATTCCCATAATCGGCTTAATGCAATATAAAACCAGAAGAAATGCTTTATAAATCAAAAGGATCTTAAAAATTAAAAGTTTTCTAATGATTTTTAGAACAAATATCCATCCAGTAAAAGATTGTTATACCAATAAAAATACACTAATATTGGTTGATTCAAGTATAACAAGTACTAGTTGTGCATACTTCTATGAAACTAAGCAAAGGAACGTCTTGAAAGAGCATGCTTTATTTGTTTTATTATTAAATATATAAGAGCTCTTTTAATTCGTCTTTGATAAAATTAATCACTTGAGTAAATAAGAATTAATTAAATTATAGAGTTGAAGAAAATGAAAAATCCCTCCAATTCACTACATATTTCGTCAAAATTAATTAACACTGGCATATTTTATAAATCAACCATTGAAAATTGTCTATAGTAAGTACTTGGATTGGACTTATTCGTATGAATACATCCTAAAATCTTCCATTGCATTCAAGTTATAATTTCCTAATTTGACGAATGTTTCTTTATGTATAATTAGGAGTACTGTAGCTTTAGAGTGCATAGCTTAATGCCCTGTAGATAAATTGTTCACTTTTAATAAGCTACCAAGTTTGCAAGTTTTAATTAAGACCTGCTATTTATGATAATATAAGTAATTAAACGCAAAATAAGCAGATGTAGGGATTGAGGAAAGGTGCATCATATTAAGCACATTAAGCGATAAAATAATTAGAACCTGAAACCATAAAACTTTGAAAAGGGATAAAATTAATGGGCCTCATTCAACTATTAGTAAGTAGAGTTTCGAGACTACCAGTAAATCATAAATATGAGATGTATTCACCCTCTTTCGTTTAAGGTGATGAAGGACTTATAGTATAATTATTTCACAAATGAGTAAATCTTAGGTTTCCATTAAATTTCACAATGCCTTGTTTTCCCAAAGGTTGTTCTCATCCTCGAAATTCACATCTGATATGTGACCCAAGAGCACTCGTGGCAATTTTGCTGAATGGTTAGAATGTCAAGCTCACATTCTGCACTGCCACGGTTCGACTCCCACTGAGAGTGTTGATAAGACCTATGCAAGGTCGAAACTGCAGTCCACCCGGGACGAGAACAAATTTTGGGAAAGCAAGGCTATGTAAAATTTCATGGAAATGCCATCTCTATCATATCATTGTGGGAAAATTCTACTACCAGTCCTTCATCACCTTAAACGAAAGAGGCTAAGTACATCTCATATTATTAGTAATCAACCACATAGCCTAAATTTTCAATGGCAATCAAGTAGGTAAAAATAAGATAAACAGTTGAAATAGGAAAAACGAATGAAATAAATCGAATATATAATTTATGTAAAATAGTTGAGAATGGAAGGGCGCTTATTCATTAGTCATTTTCCTATATACTGTTATTTGATAGGTTATCATTCACTTATTTAAGAGTATATATTAAATCATGCTCATTACAGCATTTACCTTTATATCACCTTTTAAAGTTATGCATTAATCAACTCGAAGTTGTATATAGTATTTTGATGTTAGATAGGAGCGAAAAGTTCAATGGATATATTTTGCAGGAATATAGGAAGATTGATTTGAGAAATTAACAAGCAGAGCTTATAATCTAAGTAAATGAGAAGATGCATATTTATGGGTCATAAAAAGTTCAAGATAAACGCAATTAATACTTATTCGTATTTTAAATTAATTTGCCTAAAATATTGATAAGTTAGCATATATTAGTCCAAAATAGCATCTTTTTATTATAAGACATCTTTACTTACATTTATTTAGTAAGAATTGCGGATTTCTTTCTTTAATATTCCATTGAAACAAACAAGTATATATTGCATTCTTTAATAAAGATGTCGCAAATAGTCATAAGCAGTTTACGCTTGTCATGGAATGATATCCCTATTATAATCAAACTTTACTTTCAGCAGGAAAGTAATTTATTAATTAAAGTTTGCGTCTGCTGCAAAATATATTTTAATTTGAATTACAACACTAAACTTATATAATAACTTCCATTCAATTTTAATATTTGTCTCATAAAAGTGCAAAGACTACATCCGTAATGTTTTGCCTGGATTACGTCTGAACTCAAAAAATTCAGCTTTAATATATTAAAATGAACTATCAATAATTTAAGGTATGAATACCGAGATGGTGTGGCCTTTTTTGTGGTCGCAATCTTCTTTCTTTGTATAGAGGTTGATTGACCTTGTTTCGCAACTTGGTCATATTGGTAGGAAGACTTAGAGGAATGCAACATAGTCCGGATTCCATTAATAAAGTCGGACCGTGGACGTGGTACATTGCCAGACGTCTCCCTGGCATCGTCAGTGAGTCTCGTCATTCTTAGCACCACACTACAACTCGTCAAAGAGAATTGCCTCTAAGAATGCCGAGACTCACTGATGATGCCGACTACGATGTCGGCGAAACTTCTGGGAATGTACCACATTCACGGTCCGACTTTGGAAATGGTCATGCACACAATGGAATCCGGACTAGTTGGGTTTCTCTTAGTCTTCATACCAATATAACCAAGTTGCAAAAACAAGGTCAAACAAACTCTATCAATAATTAACTTTCATTGATGCTTTTCGCTAAGAGCCATTCTAATAATATAATGCTATACATCAGATCAAATCAATTAATCAAGTATGTACATAATATGATTCAGCGATATGGCCTCATTTATAAATATAGTTAGTGAAGTGAACTACGATAAAAATCGTGATAGTATTGCCCATTGCCTTATGCATAAAAATAAATAAAATTCAATAAAAAAGTCTAAATAAAGATTTTGAAATGCTTGGATAAAAGTTGCATTTATTACAAGTATGCAACAATCTTAACTTACCTTTCCAGTTCAATTTTTCATTATTTCATGATTATATACGACACTCAGTTTAATATAAACGTGAATCTATTTTATTTAATAGTCGTAAATAATCCAATGACAATCTGATAATTTATTGACAGTTGAGTTTAAGGGATTTATTTTGTTTTTTATTAGATATCGAGCCTTTGAGTACATCATATATAAAAACTATATTTCCCTCATTTCGTTTAGCTGTTGGAGGACTAGATGTTTAAATTTCCCACAATTATATGGTTAGGCCTCATGTTTACATTGGATTTCATATAGCCTTGTTTCACCTCATCAGCTCCTCTAGCAGGACAAAAACTTAGTTAATGAAATGTATCGTCTTTACACGTTAGTCTCTACGTCGGACTACCTGTAGTGTTCTTGGCTCATAGGGCAGCCGTGAATTATAAGGAAGGCTAGGCCTTTTCCATATGACTTTCCTTGGTGGAATCGTCAATTAAGCAACTAGATTATTCATTTTAGCTCTTTTCTGGAAGGAAAATGCAACTACTAATGCATTTTTATCTGAAATGGATAGTATATTTTATAAAAGTTATATTGTTGGTCTCGAAACCTACTCATAAAAGCAGATAAGTAATGCAGTCGAATGTTGTAGCATATACAGCATTGCTCCATCGACAATTCCACCATAAAGCAGATAAATGGGGAAGTCCTTGTCTTTGTAGAAGCTGCGTCCCGAAGGCATATAAGACAATATGGCTCAGAAGCTAACGTGCCGAGACCATACGCTGAACTACTCGGATTTGAGCTTCGCTAAGACTCTTGATAGGACACATAGGAGTTGAAAACTTTAGTCCCCTCTGAATAGACTATGTGGAATTTAATGAAGCTATAGGGCCTGCATATATCCTTGTGGTAAAATTCAAATTCGAATAGGAATGGCTAGTAAAATTTGAGTTTTGTTATAGGAATTGCGAAATCTGTATGTCGAAACTTACTTAATTACCATCATAATTAATATAGCATAATTTCAATTGTACTTTTAAATAGGCATTCAAAAATTGAAAAAATGATTTAATAACTATCAATTGATTACTTTCTGAAACGAATACTTTGTAAGTAAAGTTTTTCTAGGAATAAAATTTGTCTCCAAAAATTATTTTATCGATAGTATCCATAGAAATATTTGCACTACTGAATGAAAATCATATTTATTTAATGGACGCACTTTGATAATTTCAACCATTTCCGCCTTCTCGATTGTCCCATTTCCGTCTATATCATACATTTGGAAGGCCCATTCGAGTTTTTCCTCAGGCTTGCCACCAGAAGTTATATTGATGGCAAGAAGAAACTCTTTGAAATCAATTTTACCAGAGTTATCCTTATCAAAAGTCCGGAAGACATGTGTGCAGAATTCTTCGGCATCACCGTCGGGAAAGAATCCTGAATAAACCTCTATAAACTTTTTTTTACTCAGTTGACCGGATGGACAATCACGCTGAAAGTATAAAATGATTTTAAATGTGACATTAAATGTTCAGCAAAAGTAACTTGATTGGCAGAAAATTTTGTGAAATATAGGCATATAAATTCTTCCGAATAACAAACGCGATTACTTATATAGAAGCATATTTCTTATCTTGTTTGAAGAGCTCTCGTATTAAGCAATTAGGGACCAGTACATTCGAAATTATTTATCCTAGTTCTTGGAATACAGGAAGTCAAATAGGAAATAGAAGATGCCTTAAGTAAAATTTCTAACAGAAAATTCACCTATGGTCTTATATAAATAAAGCTAACTCCACTTTCATTGAGAGGAATAGGATGTCTAAAGCGTCTAAAATCTTATCATAAGCGAAACCTATTATAGGCAGCTAAACTTAGCTAACTATTCAAGTCATGCGATCATGCTATTTCGTAGGCAAAAACTTGTAGTTACTAAAATACTATAAAATTTTAACTTAATTTATGAAATATATTATA